CTTCCTCAGTCATGTTTCTCCCCCTCACAACCCCTCCTTTTCCCTCCACCATTGCCTCACGATCCTCCCTATCCCTGTTGATCCTACCAATCTCTCTCACTTTCCAAGCTTCATATTCCTCTGCCTCATTGATTTCATCGTCAGTATCCACATCAGCAATGTTGGCCTCCATTTCCACGTTTTTCTGGATTTCTTCATCCTTCCGGATCTCCTCAACAACAATCTGCTTCGTCTCAATCCTCCTTTCCTCCAATCTCCTCTTCCTTGCTTCCTCAAGGGCCTGCTCCTCAGCCTCAAGACGCTCACGCTCAGCAATAGTATCCCTCTCAGACTTGGGAACAAACACAGGCTTCACCATAGCCACACCCGTATATTCCTCATCCGAGTCAGTCTCATACTCAGACTCCTCCTCCTCCTCTTCTTCTTCCTCTTCCTCCTCCTCTTCCTGAGGAAGAGCCTCCTCCTGCTCCCTTTGAAGCAACTTCTCTTTAATCAGCCTCCTTCTCTCCGCCAAAGCGTTCTCATCTTCTTCTTCCAACTCCAAGCCTTCCTGCCTCCTGGCCTCCTCCTCAATGGTGGAAACAATCTCAGCCTGCCGAATGCGGCGATGATCAGCCCGGACCTCCTCACGGTTATCAATCCGGCTCTCAGCCAAACGGCGGAGCCTACGGTCATCCTTTCTAACAATGGCAGCGTCTTCCTCGTGCCGAGGAAACGCTTTCTCCAAGGCAGCTTCCCTAGAGGGTCTAATATCAACGGGGGCTCCATCTTCTATCTCATCATCAGCCCACTCAGGAACTTTACCAGGCCAATAACGCTTAACTTTCGTTTGCCCAATTTTACCTCTCAGCTTATCCCTAATCGCTATTACAGTATCACTAACACCCGCAGTCACTGACATTGTTCCTCCTCAATTAAACGCCACTGGGAAAAAACACAAAAACTAGTTTCGATTCCCTTATTCACCAAACCCTATTTCGCAAAGATGCATAGTTGTTAATGTTAGGTAAAACGTTTACACAGCGACAGACAATTTCAGATGAAATACTCAGAAGAGAATGAGTCTTACTTCTTACCTTTCTCACTTTCTGGAATGGAATCTGCGTCGTGAGCGCGCACTATGGGAAGATTCTCTGCTTTTTCTCTTCCAACAAGTTCATCCACTCGACTCGAGTATTTATAATGTCACATTGGGCTTTCCCCAAGTTGATAGACGACGAGCTTCACAATAGAATATTATGATTTAATTTATTTTTTTGGTGGTTTGTTGTTAGGGGATTTATTTATAATTGTTTTATAAATTTTAAACATGGATGTATAAATAATAATAATAATTTTAAAAATCAAATATATACGGACTATAGCTGATTTTTTTAAGGATTCATATTTATTGGAAATAAAAATAATAGTTTGTATATATAAAAAAAATTTCCTTAATGAACAACTTTTTCTAAAAATAATAAATATAATTTTAATTTTTTATATTAAAATTTAATTATATAAAATTAATATTTTATGATTAAATTAAGAAAAAAAATATATATTTTGTGTCTTTCTGTTTAAAAAAATAATATTTTATATCTTACATTTTATAGATTAAATATTTATTATTTATAACAAAAATTATAATATATTACGTAGACAAAAAAGTATTATATTAAATACATAAATTATATTATTTTTGTATAAATATATTTTTTAAAATATATAAATTATATTTTAATGACATAAAATTATTCTTAATTATTGATACCTTTTTATAAAAATATTAAAATATAATTCATACACAAATATTATAAATAGAAAATTGAATTAGATAAGGAATTAAAATAAGGATAAAATTTGAGTACAATATTTTATGTGTGGTTGATGTTATTTTTCGATCAGAATTAGAACTTTATCTCGTTAACAAGTGTAAATCTATATTAATGAGACATGTATTAAATGCAAGTACATAAATAAAACTTTGACTCTAATTATGTAACGACTCGTCGTAATTTCTACACTTTAATGGAATCACCTACTAACAACGAAAAAACATCTAATTACCAACGATTAATATATAACAATACTTGGGTGCATCACACGAGTAAAATCTCAAAAGTATAATCATATAAAATATGTACAATCATTCAATACTAAAAATAAAAGTTCTAAATTGTTGGTCAAGTAACTAAAAATAAGTAAAACTCTCGCCAAAAATAGCATCAAACTACATGCCAACAAAATGACCACGCGAACTTCAACCTCCAATCCAACCTCCAATCCAACCTTGTTCTGCTCCCCTACAAAAATTAATCATTGTGGTCCAACCATTAAGAAAACATGCAAGAGTAAGCTAGAAATACAAAGACTCAACAAGGTACAGAAGAATTAACTAACTATATTACAAACTTAATTACACAACACAACTTTCAATGTAATCATACATTCACCACCATCTCATTAGGACACATAAGTCACACTACAAAATCTCCAACTTTTCCATAATGCTTAACATAGTATCTCAACTTAAACAATATCGCATTATAGCAATATAGATCAACATACCATGTACAAAAAAAATACAATTGTCTGACCAACACCAATATGTAAGCACCACAACAAATACTTCATAGTCTATAACATATCAACACGACAAAAGCACTCCGACATGGCATTCAACGCCTTACAAGAGTAAGCAACTCATTTACATATGAAAAATCATATTTCACTACAACAATGACATTCAACAACATTCTCAACCAAAAATATGGATAACATTAAACAACACCACATCATATACATACATCTCAACTAATGTGTCATCATACATTTACCTATAAAAATCTCCTACACACCTGAGTAGTATAAATGGTTTGACCCTACCAGACCAACTCTGATCATTTTGACACCCAATACGCCTACTAGATCCATAACTATATTGGAATATCAACCAATCCCTCATCTAATTTCTCAGATATCGTCACTTACACTGGAAAAGTCCAATTCCACAATCAAGACTAATATAGTTACGTATAGGTGCACCATAGTCTTCACATACATTACCAAGTCATTTATGGAATTATTTACTAGTTATCCTCGAGGAACCATGCAACTGTGGCATATCAATCATGCATAGCATATCAATGCTCATTAGTCATCACCATTTCAACCACACAAGTATATCACACAAACGCTTATTATCATTATCCTCCTTCATACAACAAGCAATAGACTCAAGCATTTTATTCATGTTCACCATACAACATTTAAATTGTCAATAATTAAATCATCATCATACATTATTCCAGATCAATGTACATTCAACATAAAAGGTATTACATCAAACATTCATTATACTTCATACAAGCATCCAACTTATAAAATAAAAAGGAACCAAGCACTTGAAGCACCCCAGACCTCGCCCTAAGCAACGTAAATTCGCTTTGAGCATTAAGAAATTTGCTTGGAGCAAGCTCAAATAGATAGTACCCGTGGGAGTCTCGATCTGGTCGCTTAAGCGATGACATTCTCGCCCTGAGAGACAAAATTCGCTCAAAGGGCTCATAAATTTGCTCTAAGCGAGCAATGTTAGGGACCACCCACAAACCTCTGTATCTCCTCGCTCTAAGTGAATGAGTGCTTGCTCTAAGCCACTGAAATTCGCTATGAGCGATTATAATATGCTTTGATCGAGCCAAGTTAGAGAGCACACCAAAATTGGTTGCATAAGCTCACTTGGAATAAGTAAGTTTGCGTTTTGAGCGAGTCTATCCAAAAATCTGCATATTCAAAGCTCGAGAACAATGACCTAAACATTCACCTTAACCATTGAAAATCCACTCAACCCATACCACAATACATACATGCAAAACCACCATTCATACATAAACATCCTCAACAGTTCATTGTGCACTAGAATTACAGCATGCAATAACAATTTCAATCAAGATCATCAAAACTCATATGAGCCATCTCAAGAACACCCAAAACTCACCCTTACATCATACAATTTGAAATTTTCAACTATATACTCATACTTGATCAAAATTAACAACATGCAATTCAACCATCTCATTCACAATCAATCTTAACTCCCCTTACCTCGGATTTGAAGAGAATAAAGAGGAGGGGAGAAGAAACCAAGCTCTAGGGAAACTCCAAACAGAACCACCACCATTTGATTCTCAACCTTCTGAGCCTTGAAGAGATTCTCTCAAGCTCCATAACTCCTCTTTCTAACTTCTCTCTACAATTCTAAAGTTATGAATTTATGAAGTTCATTCATCAAAATTCAACTTATATAGCTCAGTCCTTCCCAAGGCAATTTTCATGTACTTAAGCTATAACAACAAAACAATACAAAATAAAATATTTAATTACATTTATTTCAATAAACACGATTAAGAAAGCATAGTATTACAAATTGGGTGACAACACCAATCGTACTTAAGTAATTATAATTAAATTTTGTCCTGAAAAACACTTCAGTCGAAAATTAATCTCTAAAAATATTCTTAGATAAAAAAATTTGCATTAAAATAATTGAATAAATAAAAAAAGTAAATTAAATAAGAAATTTAAAAAAAAAATTCAAAAACTTTTATTGAATAAAGACTCTCAAAAAATGTTAAAATTTAACATATAGAAATTAATAAAAATATAGAAATTAATAAAAACAAGAAGAAACGAGTGACTATTTATCTACCCAAAAAAAAGATAATGAATGATTATTTAAAAAATGAGAGATTTGAAAATTGAATATCATTAAAACAAAAAAAGAGAAAATAAATAAACAAACAAAAAATAAATAAATAATAAAAGAGAAAATGATTTAGAAATAATTAATAAATAAATTAATCTAAAATTTGTGTATATCAAAAGAAAATATTATTTTTAATTAATAATATTAATAGTACATATTAATAACATAAATATTCAGAAAATTTGTTAAATGAATATATTTTAAATATCTATTCCATTTTTTATTCTCATAAAGAGTGATAACACTAGCATTAACATAAGCTAAAGATACTACCTTGTGGTTCAAAATCCTAAACCCTCGTTGCAAAAATAACAATCCAAAACCCTCACCAGATTATGCAACGAAGGAGCAAGTTGTTTCTGACATCGATGGTGTTTTAAAACAAAAGAGTGATTTTGAATGCATCGAAGAATACCCTTTCTCTCTCGGTTTCGTCTTCTTCGTCACAATGATACTTTCTCTCATTCCCTTTTCAAGTTCTGTCATTGCTCCCCAGTCCCTACCGCAAACTCCGACGAAACTGAGAAGCACACCCACTTATTGATTTCCATGAGAAACCTATGCAGGTCAGGTAAAGTCAAAAACGTTGATAAAGCTTTGGACTTGTTTAATGGCATGACCAAAATGAAGCCTTTGCCTTCTGTGAAGGCCTTCTCTTTGTTTTTAGGGTTTATTGTGAGGTTGAAGCATTACCCCACTGCCATATCTTTAGTTAAACACATGGTTTCTTCTCTAGGCATAGAAGCTGACACCATTACTCTTAATATTGTCATCAATTGTCTTTGCCATTTGAAGTTGATAGCTTTTGGGTTCTCTGTCTTGGGTACTATGTTCAAACGTGGTTTGGAGCCCACTGTGATGACTCTTACCACTCTCATTAATGGGCTTTGTGTGCAAGGCGATGTGGCTCAGGCAGTGAGGCTGGCTGATCATATGGAAAAAATGGGGTATCCCTTAGATGTTTACTCATATGGGGTGGTGATCAATGGGTTGTGTAAGATGGGAGACACTTCGGCGGCAGTTGGGTGGCTAAGGAAGATTGAGGAAAGAAATTGGAAAGCTAATGTGGTAGTTTACAGCACAATTATTGATAGTTTGTGCAAGGATGGATTGGTTTCTGAGGCGTTAAATTTGTTCTCGGAAATGGGTGGCAAAGGTGTTCGTCCTAATCTTGTCACTTACACTTGCTTGATTCAAGGTCTTTGCAATTTTGGAAGATGGAAAGAGGCTGGTTCTCTCCTGGATGAGATGGTGAAAACGGGGATGATGCTGGATTTGCAAACTCTCAATATTTTAGTGGATGCTTTCTGCAAAGAAGGAAAACTGATGCAGGCCAAAAGTGTGATTGGTTTTATGATTCTGATGGGGGAGGAGCCAGATGTGTTTACCTATAATTCATTGATTCATATATATTGTTTGCAAAATAAAATGAATGAGGCCATGAGAGTATTTAATTTAATGGTTGGCAGGGGCTGTTTACCGGACATTGTGGTTTTTACATCACTCATCCATGGATGGTGTAAGGACAAAAACATTAATAAGGCTATGCATCTGTTGGATGAAATGGGTAAGATGGGATTTGTTCCTGATGTTGCAACTTGGACCACTCTTATAGGTGGGTTTTGTCAAGCAGGTAGACCAATAGCTGCAAAAGAACTGTTTTTTAGTATGCACAAATATGGTCAAGTTCCCAATCTCCAGACTTGTGCCGTTATATTGGATGGCCTTTGTAAAGGAAATCTTCTTGCCGAGGCGGTGTCATTGGTTGAGGCACTGGAGAAGAGTAATTTGGATCTTAATATTGTGATTTATAGTATTTTGCTTGACGGAATGTGCAGTGCTGGAAAACTGAATGCTGCATGGGAACTCTTTTCAAGTTTGCCTGCTAAAGGTTTACAAATTAATGTTTATACTTATACCATTATGATTAAAGGTCTCTGTAAACTAGGGCTGTTGGATAAAGCTGAAAACTTACTGATGAGTATGGAACAGAATGGCTGCCTGCCAAATAATTGCACCTACAACGTCTTTGTTCAAGGCTTGCTGACAAAAAAGGAAATTGTAAGGTCAATAAAATACCTTACAATAATGGGAGACAAAGGTTTTTCAGTAGATGCTGCCACCACAGAAATGATTATCAACTACTTATCTACTAATGAAGGAGACACCAGAATTCGAGAATTTTTGTTTCCAGAAAGATAGCACGTTTCAAGACTTTCACTAGACGTTTATTCAAATTCAGCCTCTCAAATTCTCACGCCATATTTTTCTTATTTTGGCAATGGTTCTACTTCCTTTTAGAATTTGAAATTGCTATTATTCCTTGACCATGAATAAAACTGTAGCTTCTGTGCGGTCAATCAAGTCCAGGGCTACTGTTGTTTCTGCTCCTGTGTTTCGGTCCACTGAACTTCCAGAAAAAAGGAAGGAGGTAACAAACTGTATATTACTTAACTTTGTCTGGATAGGTTTTCTTATCTCAAATTGATTGTTGCATAGTCCCTTCCATAGTTTTATTCAAAATTAGAGGAAAAATACCAATCAATGGAAGCTGAGAAGAATCAAACTGAAGTGGGGACCAAGGTACAACACTTTCTCAATTATCTTCAAGACTAAAAATACATTGCCGTAAAGTTACTTTCTTTTATAAGCTCATAAGTTAGTTATCTCACTCCGATTCCTTCATCAATTTCTAAACATTTAAGGAAGAGATAGAGGAAGCTATCAAGCAGCTAAAGAAGAGTTTAAGTTTTAAAGCAAACCCTATGCCGAGCTTTTACCATGAGGGGCTACCTCCTATGGTTGAATTGAAGAAGGTTTGTACTTTTAATAATATCATGCATGGTGTTCAGTTTTATCATAAAAAACAATGAAGAGTTCTTGTTATGTTAAGCTCTCAAACCAAATTTCATTTACAGTAACTGAAAAACTGCTTATTATAATTGTAAAAGATCCAGTTGGACATGTAGACATATTTTATCAACTTATGTGCATGAAAAAGGTTGAGTATCATGTCTGGGCCAACTACCAGCCTCGCGTGCAAAATCTCCAAAGGGGACATGGTGAAAGGAGCTGGTGTCAGGAGAAAGCATCACATACTGAAGACTGAGAACTATGATGACAAGAGTGATGTGAATGCCTTATGTGACCTCAAGAGCAAGACCAAGCATATTGAAGAAATTAATGTGACTGAAGTAACTGGACAAGCAGACTTGGAGATTGGCAGCCAGTAAAATTCTCAGTGAGATTTTTCTCATTTCTCTGATTTGTATGTATCCAGGACTGTGGTCTTGTTTCTTGCAACAACCATGTTCACTTTGTTTTTCCTTTAACTTAGAAGCGCTTGCTGCGGTGTGCAGTATGTAAGTAGTGACAATGTTTTTGTAATTTATTTCTAATTATTTGTAAAATGAAATCCCTTTGCTCATAAGAGCAATTTCAGCATTTGTTTGTCTGCTTGAAGTCCAGGAGCAGATTGTTTGAATTCATCATCATTAAAATAATGCTGTTCCATTAACAGTAATTATGGTTCATTTTTGCAATTTTTTTTTGCTACTTTTTTCTCTTAGTAGCAAAACCTTGTGGGGTTTTAGTAGTATTATATGACGGAACCGTGTTTAAATTAAGATGATCATCCATTTATTTACTGTGGACATAATGGCAGAGGAATAATGTATAGGCTGAAGGACCCTAATGCTTGCTTCTGCCTTTAGGTGGGACATTAATGTTTAGTAGTCACGGTGGAACAGAAAAACTACATAAAAATGTCTATTTGCTTATATGGTTTTTTTTTTTACACGGCAATAGAGAGACCCTTTAGGACAAAATATACCTCATTTTGTATACTGCTGGTCTAAGGGATGCTGCTCCCACATCAATGTAGTTTTGTTTGTCGAAGCGTATGCTAAACTTGTTTCAATTTAAGATTTTCTGATCAAGAAAATAGCCTTTAATTTCTGGGGGCTCAAAGCAGATTTATGTTTGATATGGGGTACAAATACTGTGCAAATTGGTCAAAGCAGATTTATGTTTTAGTTAACTTATATTTGATTCGCCTATAAGTTTATCTAACTAAAATAAAAATAATTGGCAAATTGGTTAATCCCAATAGTTTATAATGTCTTTTCATATGATATTTGAAGTGGTGTAAAGTTGTAAAAAAAAAAATTCTCTTTATATTGTAATAAAATTTCTTCTCTAGGCCCACTTGATAAAAAGCAATACACACTTTTCATCGATACGATTTGATATTTCTTTCTAAACTAGACATAAACTCACTCGCTCGATGAACAGATAAAAAAAATGTATATATATAAACTATAAACTATATTATTTTATTAGTTTAACTTTAAATATAATTTTTTTTTAGGATGTAATATAAACATGGTGTTATCATGAAACAACTAGCGCTAGATTTTGAAGCAATGCAATGCTTAGCACTGAGATCTTGGCACTGGACGTTGAATGAGAATTCTAGGAATTTATGCAAAAAATAATGTAAATTCTTACAAATTAGCTATCTTTGTAAATTTATCAATGTGCTTACCGAGTTATGGAAAATATTTATGTACTTTATTAATTTCTAGAAACGGTTAGTCAACTATTTTTTTACTTTTTTTATTTTTTATTTTCAAGACAAGAAAGGATGTGTTACTTTTATTTCATGAAAAACCTATTTTGAAACACTTAATTTTCACTTTCGCTTCTTTTCATCACATACTTTGTTTTCATTTGATTTTTTTTAACAAGAGACAAAATGCGAAAGCTTTTATGAGAAAACTTAACTAATTACACTTTTTAGTTTACTCCGTAATCAATTTTTTCATCGGGATGTTTTCAAGAATATTATTCTTTAGAAATATAATTGTACGCTTTAAAACAAATATCTCCTTTAAAGACAGATTTTGAAAGATTTATTGTGAAATTGATTTCAACGACTTAAAATGTATCGACTACGAAATACACAAATTCTCAATCTTAAGTTTACACACACCTAAAAAAATTTGTTAAACAAAACAAAGGTTTAACAACTTATACCATTACTTATTAGAGTATAGGATGTTACTCTATTGTATTACGTATTTCATTCAGTCATAATTGCCTGTAACTTGTACTCAAATAGTACTTAAATTATTCAACACAATACTTCACCATCTATAGTATTTACCCAACTTTAGGAGTATATATTATCAGTTATTTTCATTTATTGTATTTAAAGACTTACTGTCAAATGGACTATGGATGACGCAAAAATATATTTTATCTTGGAATAATGCTTTTAACTTTAAAACAATCCTCACAACATTGGTTTATTTTAAAAAAACTATTTGAAGTTTGCATTCTGCAGCTTGACACCAATCTTTACCAAATATTACATGGAATTAAAGCAACATTAGAAGTTGTTTACACTAACCATTGTTCGATTATTCTCAACCCGATGATTAGACTGCGATCAAGCAAAAGTAGACCATGTTAGGCTAATCAATGTAAAGGTACAAAACTCCAGTCAGATTTTGAACTAGGCAGATAACTAATATTTAACCAATATTCCCAACATATAGCACTCTTGAAGTTAGTAGACAATAATACAACTAGTGGTGTCCCATGGCGAGGGTTTCAGACAACAGAAAGCTAAAAGCAATTCAAAGAAACCCTCCATTGGCAACAAATACTAGAATTGATGTCCAATCAGTCCCCACTTGCACAACCCTTGCATCCACAATGAACACACTCTATGACCTTCTCTTCCCTAAGTTGCTTGGGAACTCTGCAAACACAAGTGGTGGCAAAATTGTGATCACGTGGCTGCATGCACCTCAGGCAACATAGACGTTCATAACCAGGCTGCAAACCAGACAAAAACCATAATTACTCAAAATCCAAGAAAGCACATAGAATGCACAAATGAAATAAAATCTTAGTAAGAGTAATACGATAATATCATTTTTTGCTACCAGCAAAAAATAACCTTACAACAATTAACATCTTGGAGAAGGCACAAATGAGTACAGCATCATATTTTTTCATTTCACAAGTCCTCAACATCAGACTTGGAATGTGAGTTCAAACTTATTTTTGGATGATCTTGACTTTGTAAAGTTGATTTTGAATATAAGTGAATTTGAACCAATGTGATAATATGGGAGACTTGCAACCAGACTGCAATCAGCTAAGACCAACACTAAGGTCCTAAAGGTTTAGACATGATGGGGGCAAAACATGGAAATTAATTAATGGGGCGTGGGAGTGGAAGTTAGTTGGAGAGAATAAGGAATCTGTGTAAATAGTGCAGCGGTGGTTTTACAATGGGGGTAGGGATTCATTTCGGGCTTTTTCCTTTTAGCTGTTATGGCTGGGCTTGGAGAGATCCTCCATAGCTGGGAGCTTATTGCTGTTCTTTTACTCTAAACTCCACACAGTTTCCATTAATTAAATTTTCTTCTACTTCTGATAGGATTTTCCCTATCACTATGCGATTTATGTTTAAATTTCACCCATCTGAAGTCAAGCCACAAGTTCTTTCATTAGAAACATATTTAATCACAAGTTTCTGTTTGAAACAGAAACCAAATGTTTTTCAAAACAAGCTTTGCAAAATGACAATCATAGTAAAAAGTTTGAGCCATGATTTTAGGTGTGTTGCAAATGAAAAACCACAACTAAATATGATAATCTAGTTGTATTGACTGAGCATATATCATGGTTGCAAATCCTAGAGAGCAATTCAAGCAGGCAGCCCAAAACTCTATAGCCAGATGGGTGATGTACCGAAGGTTATGCTTACAAGATAAATTATTGTATATTATACACATATAACTGCTAAAGAAACCCAAAATTGAAGACATGCTTCTTTAATAATCAAATGCCAGGGATACAAGTCCAAGGCATGATTAACAAGTTTGTAACAAACAAAAGTGAAGGATCATAAGTCTGCAATAAACAACGAGAATGGCAATGAAAGTACAAACAGAGGGATGATACAAGGGTACAAAGTGTGTACACAACATACAGAGCAGGGGAAAAATAACAGAGGAAGTCTTAAAGAGCACGCTGCACAGACCTGTGAAAACCTTGAGCACAACAGAGGGACAGGACAAGAGGTTTGTTGTAGGCCTAAAATGAAGGGGGATTAGGGCTTGGTAATTTGGCATCTTAACAGAAAAACATTGCCTCAGAGGTTAAATGACTTTGGCACTTTCCTCTGGAAACCAATGCTATAAGGCACCAAGCTTATCAAAGCAAGTACAACTTATTAGAACGAGTGGTAAGCAAACCAATTGAGCAACACAGACCATAGCTTTTGGAATTGGAAATTTTCCGATAATATATTTCTATTGTTTGGGTGATGGCATCCTTGTCAAGTTTTGAGATGGGGAGTGCTCCTTTTTCAGAGGCTTTTCCCATATGATCCACCCCTACTTTGCAAATTTTATCCATTTCTAACCTAAAACTAAGAATGTTAGACCATTATTTACATAGGAACTTCAATTTGCTTGGAGATTTGAATATGGATACTATAGTGAAGTGAACTACAATCCGTTTTGGCTTTAGTGTTTTACACTTCTATGCGAATCTAATTCTCCTTCAACCAAGTTAAATAGAAGAGTTTGGATCATGGATTCTTCCAGTATTTTCTCTTGCAAAGTTTTCTTTCAACTGCATACTTGCACGCCTAACCTTCAAAGTTTCTACTTGATAAATCCATTTAAAATCTAAACCTCTCTCAAAGGCCAAGTCCCTTGTTAGGACAGTGGTACTTGACATCGACATGATCAATATTATTAATTTGTTTCAAATTCATAGACCTTCCAACCTGATTTTGACTTTTTATTATTGCATTTAATCTTATTTGTTTTGAAGAATTTTGTTTTTTTTTTTTGGCTTCTAGAGGGCTTCTTATACTCCTCCTAGTTGTACTTCTGCTCTTTTTATCTATAATACTATCTTCTATGAAAAAAGAAATAGAAAAACAAAAGCAGTTTCAAAAATACAATAAAATTGCTTATTTAAGGTACCTTCTTCCATTTTGCAATTAGATTGCGGTCAGCATATCCTTGATCTAAACAGAATTCATACAGTTCTTTAGAAATTTCCTTCCTCCGATGGTAGAGATCAAATATGTAGCGACTCTTCTGGTGTGCAATCTTAAATATAGGCCATAATGTCTCACATTTTCTTTTACCATCATGTGGATCATTCTCAGCTGCCACATAGAGTATACAAGACTATTAATTTCATTGAATTCAGAAAGAACATTATAAAATTTAGTGTGGCATGCACATAATGTAAAATTCCAACCTTCCCTCATCTTTCCTTGAAGTTCACGGAGTGTAGGCTCAATTAATTCCCAGCCCTCTGGGTATTTAACACGATTTGTCTTCACTTTTGGCATTTTTTGTATCTGTTTAAGGAAAACATGGCATTAAAGGGTCATTTTCCATACATTCTACAGAGCAATATAAATGGTACATATTATTTCATAGGTACAGTACAAGTTATCAAGTAGGCATAATTATCAATTTCACATAGCATTGCATAGCAGCTGACCCCAAAAATGCTATGGCAGTATGGCGCATAGTGGGATGGACTATTCTGATTTTTTTTATATAGATATAGATTGAATAATTTATTTACACCATACACATTTAAATGCTCAAATATGTGTGTGTGTAAAAAAAACAAACTCAACATTCATGACATTCATTAAAAATAAAAGGTGATAGGTTTTAAGCAAAACATACGAGTAAATAACAATAAAAGTCAAAGAAACAAACAAGATTCAATGGCACATTCATATTTCAAATACAAAGCTTCTTAAACATTCAATGAAAAGTGAGGGTGGCCTGTTACCCAGAGAAAAGAACAGAGGAAGTTAGGGGTTCAGAACAGAGATGATTGAGAGCTCAAAGTAGAGAAAAGTATGGAAGGTGAATGTTGCTAAAAATATTCTGGCATTACTTAATTGTCAATACCCACAAGCATATTTCCTATGTAAATTATATTATCAAGTAAATGGGGAACTGTGGAATTAAAGGTGGTAGGAATCAAAAAATGGAGGTACATAAATCCAGAGTTACGAAATATCTTAGGTATTAGAAATTTAGAAATAGTTAAATACCACAATGTACTCAGGATTTAAAGTTTACCAGCTTAAGTGGTGTTATCTATGCTATGGTTGCCATGGTATATGGTTGGCAGGCACAGAAACCCATTCATTGGTGTAAATGTGTTACACCCCAGGTATGTGCTAGAAGAGAGAAAGTTGGGAATAGTAGGCCACTAGGTCCACACCTGATAGCTAAAATATAATTAAGAGTTAGTGACTGATGAGAATCTGTTGGTAGGGAGAATGTAAGTAGCATACCAAGTAATTGATGATATGGTATGGTATATTGGGATGTGACTGTATAAAAAGGGAGATGGTAGGTAGAGTTGTGGAGCAGATTAGGAGTAGTCAGGAAATAGGAGGGGAGAATTCAGGTCTCTTGAATACCTGGTAATAGAAAAAAGGGAAGGGGTGGTGGGAAATAGAAAATAAGTTTTTTTTTTTTTGTTTAGTCTTCATGATGATACATATCTGACTCAACCATCAAAAGTCAGGAGTCAACTTGTTTTCTTTTGGCTATACTTATACCCTTGTAGAACACAAGTATTCATCAACCAAAGTGCTAAGTGCTCTTGAATACTATTCACAAACTTCAAGAAGATCCTCCAAGTCAAGGGATAGAAGGAAAACTCCTGAAAGATGATAAAATGAAGGGATTTCTTCATGAGTTGGCTAATGGAATTTTTGTCACCTCAACATACCATGCTGGGAAGTCATCAAACAGATATTTGCCTGATTCTTGTGTCAAATACAGCAAGTCTATCATGAAATCAGAGCAAAGTAGAATATCCTTTCATCACAAATCTAGGCTCTTACAAAGAGTCCGAGAGCATAGTATATAATTTCAGAATAAAGGCCAGTTTTGATTGAGATGCATTGAGCTCCCTTCATGCTAAGATGATCATTGTTTGATTATGATACCACAACATTTTAGTGTTTCACCAATCTTATGCTAATTGCCATATAACCTTCAGGCTCTCACTTATAGGGTGAGACATCACTCTACATCTGATGATTCAACTAAGTGTCAGGCAATTGATGAGATTAAATATTGGAAGATGGCAAGGAATCCTGTTAATAGGTTCAAAGATTGGTAGAAAGGAAATGGTGGGTGAAGTGACAAGTTTAGGGTTTAGGAAGCAGGTTGCTTACTTAATTTTATGTTACTTTGCTACAGTTAGTGCATGCAATTTAGATGGAAGAGAAAGCACAAAAGCCTCCACTTGAGGACTTGTTTAATGATGTCTATGACCAAATACCATCAAACCTTCAAGGGGCAAGAGAGACTACTTAGAAAAACCTTCAAGAAGCATCCAAAAGACTTCATTAATTTGCAGTGTGTTATGTAATGTATTTGTTTGTGTGTGTGTGTGTGTGCGCGCGGGTAAATATATATATATACAATCAAGATCGTGAAAGCATTTCCAAGACTCAAATTGCCCACTTCCCATTTAGTTAATCACATTACTCTGCTTCAAAAATTAACAGTTTTCTACGAACCATCAGATGATAGATACCAAACAATTAAGCGAGAGGAAAAAAATAGATATAATCATAATTCATAACTCAGATATATTCCACCAGTACTTATTCTTGTTGAACTTACAATGCATACATGGATTCTAAAGGCTACAACCTTATGGTTTTTTATTTCTCTTGTTCTGCAGATACATGCTGGCAATTTGAGACTATACATATCATACAATAGAAAATCATTTTCCTAGGCATAAATTTTCACCTCTATAAACCACAACCATGTTCACCGCACACAATTTTCCGGAACAACAAATCATCCTAGCAAATGCTACTTCTTCACAACAGCTTAAAGTTGTAAAGGCACCAAATCCATTAAAATGGAAATCAAATTACCAAACAGGTGAACAAAAAACACACACACTAAAACCCTAGATAGAGAAGAAATGCATAGACAATCAGAGAAAAACCAAAAACAAAACACACAGAGAGAAAACCCTAGATTATGAAAGAAACCAAAGATGACAAAAAAATGCAGAAACAAATCAGAACGAAACAAACCAGAGAGAGAACTTGAGCAAGCGAATTGTTAGAAAGAGAGCTCGAACGAGCGAGAGAGCTACCGCGCCTAAGCAACTCCCCTGTTTTTATTTAATTAAAATTCTGATTAGAATTCTTAAACACTCCGTAATAACACACACCACTATCCAACACACACCAGGAGTAAAAAGAACGACGCATACCTCTTCGCCTATTTCGCGGTACTCTGCGACTCGATTCTGAAGATAGGTAGAGAGAAAACAAATGTAAGATAGAGCGAGAATCAAAGCAATAGTTAAAAATTTTCAAAATGAAGAAAGAAGAAACCTCGAGAAAGATTGCAGGCAGAAGCAGAAGAGTGGTGATTTTGAGTTTTTCTGAAAGTCTCACTACCCAAATGAACCCTCCTGCGTGATAAATAATGTAAGAAGAGAAAGTATGGTATGGATTATTCAATTTAAAAACTCGTGTCTCTCTTCTCTGTGCAGTGCTGTTTTTCGTTTTAAAAATATATTTTTTATTTTGAAAAATAAAAAATGAAAACTACCATTTTAACTCCTACAAATAATACAGAATAAATATTTTAAAAATTACTATATTATATTTTTTATAATATTATTAATATAATTTAAACTTGAAAATAATGATTAATATAATTTAAATGCAAAATAATATTATTTCAAATTTATAATAACAATAATAATTATTTTATTCAAATTTAAAAATTTAACAAAATCTTATAACATCATTCTCACTTAAGTTATGTATAAATCACTTTTATAATAAAGGAGTAAGTACATAAATATAATATAAGACTAAGTAGAAAAAAGGGGAAAAAGTATATAACGTAACATTTTTATAATTAGAAGCAAATTTATAAAAGAAAACATTTTTTAAATCAAATTGTCAAATGGTATATCAACCTTTATTAATTTTTGAGAAATTTTAGTCATATTATCTCTATTTTTAATATTTTCTTTATTATTAACTAAATTTTATTAAATATAACTCCTACATTACACAATAACAGGTTGACAAGTATGTTTGATGTCAAGTTTATGAGCTCTTACAACTTAACAACAAACAAAGGATTCTCCCATGCCCTCATAACTATAGGTTCCCTACCTTGGAAACATGCAACAACACAACACAATGTCGATAACAAAATCTCTTACAACAAATAAAGTTCAACAAAAACAAAACGATCACAAGTTGATCACTTCAAGCTTCTGAGCTTTTCAGCTAAAATGATTACAAGTTGGTCTTTTTACCATTATGATCACAAACTAATAACTTAAAGTTTTTAAGCTCTTTAACTAAAACGATCACAAGTTGATTTTTTTTACTATTACAATCACAAATTGTTCACTTCAAGCTTTTGAACTCTTGAACTAAAATGATCACAAACTTATATATTTACCACATTTGATCACAAGTTAATCAAATACAAGCTTTTAAACACTTTAACTATAATAATCACATATTGATCTCTTTGTTACAATCACAAGCTAATCAACTATGAGCTTTCAAAATCTTCACAATTACAAATATAAGCTTTATTATTTCACCATTATGATTACAACTTACAAGCCTTCAAGCTTATCATCTTAAAAGATTATATATTAGTCACTACTACAAACTTATCACTTCTAGCAAGCTAAGCATGTACAAGTTAGACAATCGTTTTCACAACATACAAGCTTAATATCTTTAGCAAACATAAAACAAATGATTATCGATAAGACATGCAAACCATTTATGCATGCGTGACATGCTTCAATTAGAGATGGGAACAGGGCGGGGCGAGTTGGTATCCCTATCCCCATCCTTATCCTCATATCTAGTGGGTATGAAATTTTCATCTCCATTTCTGTCTTTGACAAGTATCGGATATACTAGTACCCACTCAAAACTTAATGAAATATTTTTTCAAGAAAATATTAAAAAAATAAATTTGTTAACATTAAGTAACAATAACAAAATTACATTAAGTTTCATTTGAACTGAATTTAAAATAGAATAAAATTTATGTAAATGTCAATTAAATTCTTAAAAAAAATAAGTTTCTAAAAATTTAAAATGGGTATAAGTATGAGATAGGTATGTATATATTCATCCTTGTCCATGTACCTGATTTAATAAATTGGGTATTACTCATACCCGTGCCCATATCTAGTCAAATCAATTATTTCCTGTCAAAGTCAAGGCAAATTCGAATATTATCTATGAGTACAAGTTTACTTACCATCCCTAACTTCAATCTACAACACAACTCTCTCAAAACTTCAAGTTGGATAACCTGCCTTGACATGGGCAAGAAACAAAGTGACTTAAGCATAACTCCTAACCCTTTCCCTCTAAAGAGCTTAAAGCTTGGACGGCTTATGTACAATCCAACTTGACCAGGCTAAGCTAGTTTGCCCACACTAGCCTCCATCCCATTATCATAAAGGGAAACTCTAGGTGATTAACTTCTAACAACTAGCATGATATCTTGGTACAAATATCTTATAGAATATTATAATCAAGTATATTATATTCACTTAACATAATATTTTCACTTATCATGAATAATATCTTCACTAATCAATAATAATATCTCCATGCAATCATCAAAATTTATCTCAAAGTTATCATCAACATTATCTATAAACCTAGAGTAAGTTTAATTACCTATATATACAGTATTAGGTATCATTCTACCCTACTTTCATTCTCAACTTAGATTTTCCTTTAACTTAAATGTCGAAGTATCTTTACAAATATCTACCAATATTAAAGTAACTAGGACATTATTCTCATCATTGAAATACTTACAAATTTTGGTAAGAATAAAAACATATATACGAAAAAGTCAGGTGATAAATTAACTTGTTATAGTATTGAAATGATTTGAATAGAAAATATTTATTTTATTGTATCCTATATAGCTTTTTAAAAATTAATCAAATGTAGGATGAAATGAAAACTCACCATTCACCAATACCAACAACACTTAACCACATGTCACATGCAAATTTCCCCAAATCACAAATTAAAATTTGCATGGACCAACATTTTTGTGAAATTAATGTATTTTATTATAACTTTTAATCTAAAAAAATTGCAATATTTAGTATTTATAAAATAATTAAATATGCATTTTTTTTAGAACTAAAGACTTATTCAATATGGTATCTACACCATTAATAAAAAGTGATATGTCTTTTTTATGCGTATTTTTTGCTAAATTATATTTTTAGTATTTTTATTTTCATTGATACGTAATTTTGGTTTCTGTATTTTAAAACAAAAATATTTACTCCCTCTAATTTAAAAATACAAATTTTTTAACACTTACATACTTAAGTAATATAACATTTAATAATATGACATTTACAAATTAAAGAACCTGTAAATAAAAGTTATTAATAAAATAAACATAAATTACTCGTTAAAATATACACAAGCAAAGTTTTTTTGTATATTATTTTTTATTTTTCTTATCTCTTATTTTCATGTCACTAAACATTACATCACTTGTAGTATTAAGTCACTGAATAGCACTAAAATTTAATGATAAAAAAACATTAAATTGATAATATGACCAAAATTTCGTACTTTTATAAATGATGGACTAAACGTTTCTATTTTAAGATAGAGGGACCAAAATTATAAATTGATAAAAATAGAAATCAAAAATACAATTTAACCTACATTTTTTCGTTGATCATTTTACTCCTATAACTTTCAAAACACTTATTTTTATTTAATTTTTCTTACATTCTTTAATTAATTATCCAAAACTACTTGCCCAAACACACCCATTGTTATCCAGTCTCTTGTATTTAATTTTAATTACTTTTTATCATTTAATTTTTAAAACAAACCTTTTATACACCAATTTATATAAAGTAATTATATCTTCTTACTAATCCTCTCACTAAAAAAATAATTAATAAATAATGCATTTAATATTTAAAAAATACTTACCATTAGAAAAAAATATAAAACAAATAGAAAGATATTAGACTCATTTATTTAATATTTTTTTCTTAAAAAAAGTTGTTTAAATAAAACAAATATATTTTTCTTTTAATGTATTTGCCTAATTTTTTATTTTAAGAAAATTGTCGTTTCTTAATATTTTTGGAAAAGAGTTTATCTATATTTTAAAGAATTATTTTTTAATTTTTTTAAATAGTATTTTAAATTTTAAAAAGAACTAACCATTATAGGAAAATTAAAAATTATTTACATGATGCAAAAAATTTGTCTCAGTAAGTACTTATTTATTAAAACAATCACCCTTGTACAAAATCCTCAAAAGTAAAAATTCAATGCCACCTATACCAAATATTACCCCATAGAAAAACAAACTAAACATCATTTAAAGCAATTAAATGCAATGCTACCAAATTAGTTTCTCTTAATTATTAGTGATGAATTTCCACTCCCAATCTCCCATTCTTAAAATTGCCTATAATCCACTAAAAAGAGTTAAAAATAAGAAAGATTTTCCAAAGTTGGGTCCCAATCACCAACAACCTTCAGCAGAGACGCCGTTGTTGAAGTCAAACCGCTTTCTCTCTCTTTACCCATTTTTTTTTCTCCCTTCGCTTGTCTTAACGAGAGCTTCTAGAAAGATCCATTCCCTTCCGAACATGGACGGAGCACCTCCCTCCGCCGCCGCCGGAGGTCCGGCGCCGTTCCTTCTGAAGACCTACGACATGGTGGACGATTCCTCCACCAACGACATCGTTTCGTGGAGCTCTACCAACAACAGCTTCGTCGTTTGGAACCCGCCTGAGTTCGCTCGCCTTCTCCTCCCGACCTATTTCAAGCACAACAACTTCTCCAGCTTCATCCGCCAGCTCAATACCTACGTCAGTTTCTTCGGATTCACGCGCTTCTTTTTATTTTATTCTAATCCGTTCTGATTGCTCGCTCTAGTTTAATTGTTTATTCTATTTAATGTTTGCATGATTTGATTGTGTCACGGCATATATATAGGGTTTGACTATTTTTTTAATCGTTGTTATTGGATATTCGCATTGAGCTGAATTGAAATGTTGCTCGAGGATGGTGAATGATGAGCCATGAAATTGAGAAAGTGTATGGGGAGGTAGGTAGAGTTTCAATTTGGATCTGACTAGAGTCTATCTGAAGATATAAGTTATTTAGGGTTAAGAGATTGACAAAGGTTGAAAGATAGGGCGAGGTGTAAGATAGGTTTGTTTTTTAGCGTGAACTGGGGTGTAGCCATGTAGGACTCAAGAGTTAATTGAGGAAGGTGATAGAAACATTCTTCTGATGTACCTTGGGGTATCCCTTGCTCAAATAAAGTGCTGGGGAACTTTGGCAGTCAGCAGAAGGTAATAGGAATCTGGTAGTATAGGAATCATATTGTATCAAAGAAGGTTGATCAGTCTTCTGCAACTCTGCGATACGTCACGTACATTTAAATTATCATGTCACCAAATGTGTTCAAAAGTTCTTAATCCTGGATTCTGTTATTGTATTATTGACAAGGGATGTGTGTTGATGTTTCTGGTAATGACATTATTAGGATTTGTAATAGTTCTCCAATGATGGATTTAACAGACCTAAATTTCAAGTTTTTTTAGCACAATAGTTCTACAGCTTTCTTATATTCGGAAACTATTGGAAATTTGAAGAGCAGTGGAGAATATTGTGTTATAAAGATATGTTTATTTTAGTTGAATTACTTATCATTAAATAACTTAACTTGATGGAAAATTCATGCTAGACCATTTTCGGTTATTCACATAAAGAGAATTTGCTACTCTGTCTTTATTATATTCTTCCTCCATCATACTTGTTCTTCTTTATCCAGAAAAAATATGGCTGACGGAGATGCATATTAGTTCATGTATGTCTATTGGTAGGTCTTAACAAAAACTAGATGCCTAATAATACTTAAATACTCACCTTCCCATCATTAAATTTAGGGCTGTGCTTTTAAACTTTTGACTGCTTATGCACTAGATGTTTTGCACTCATGTTTATTTTATTTTTTTCTTTCCAGTTCAAAGAGCATATTCCCTGGCATTTTATTTGATCAAGTGGTGGAAATGCTTTATTTAATAATAGCATTTCCTTAAATTATTAGTTGCAGTAAGTATTATAATGTGTTTTTCGTGCTGATCTGATATTAAAAATGATTTGAATTCGAAAACAAAGACATAATTTACTAGCAAAGCAAAGGAAAAGAGCTCCAGTAGACGTGGTTACTTTGTAATCATTATTCTTTGTATCCTCATGAGCAGGCTTGTATCTCATCACAAACTGATACCTTAACATTTTGACCAACCAACAACACTGATGATCTGGGGTTGTTACTCACTACTGTAACAATTCTTTTAGACTTCTTGGTTATAATAGACCAAAAAGTGACTCCCCAAAAGGTAAGGTTGCCAATGTTGGATAGCTGAAGCCAAACCTTTTAGTTGCTTCTCATTAGCGAGTTTGGACTGGTTTTGGTCACTATTCTCTTAGGAACTTAATGAAAAATGCAAAGCAGCACCCTTCCTGTGTCAACACATCCCCCAAGCCCCTCCCTAAGGCATTACACTCAACGACAATTTCCATTGAAGAATCCTATCTCCATAATACGGTGGCTGTTTTTGTCACATCTTTCAACTGCATGAGCGAACTTTGGGTGTCATCTCCCCATTGTAAACCATATTTCTTAGTCAAAGTAGTTAAAGGTTAGGCCACCTTGCCATTATCATTTTACAAACTTTGGAAATATTTTGTTAAACCCTAGATCCCTTGGACCCCCTTTACTATTGCTTCATATTTCCCAGATCCTTATTTGTGTGAGGCTAATAGTACTTTTTATCCAAGGGTTGCCTTGGACTAAAACTTTTTCCATTTATTATAAACCCTAACCATAATTTCAGTTCATTAATACTTGCTACTTTCATTCCACATTCTAACTTGAAAGCTGCCTGCTTTTGGTTTCTAGAGCTTTTCTTTTTTGTAAAGATCATACTTTTAAGGATTTAATGATAAATTATTGAAAGAAATTTGTAGATCTTATTTCTTGAAAGATAAATAATTGTTTAAAAGCATTTATTCTTCTCAATGTTGATATTTTTCAAGCATTTACTAAAACCATTATTTGATTTTATTTGTTTTGGTTTATTGACATTGCTTTGTTATCAGGGATTTCGAAAAATACATCCAGAGCGATGGGAATTTGCTAATGATGAGTTTGTGAAAGATCAAAAGCATCTTCTCAAGAATATACATCGTAGGAAACCTATTCACAGTCATAGTCATCCTCCAGGTTCTCTTGTAGATCCAGAAAGGGCAGCATTTGAGGAAGAAATAGAGAAACTTTCCCGTGAGAAAACTTCTCTTGAATCCAATATTTATAGCTTCAAACAACATCACTCAACAGCAAAGCATCAACTAGAAGATTTTCTGCTGCGATTAGATGGTGTTGAGAAGAGGCAGAAACATTTACTGAACTTCTTTGAGAAGGCTCTTCAGAATCCTGCCTTTATTGAACATCTTTCACGCAAAATTGAGTCCATGGATTTATCGGCATATAATAAAAAAAGGAGATTGCCTCAGGTTGATCCCGTGCAACCAGTTGCTGAAAGTAGTTTTGTGGATAGTCATAGCAATTTTAGAATGGAATTTGGAAATGTTTTCCATCAAGATTTCTCAAGTAAACTCAGACTGGAATTGTCACCAGCTGTTTCAGATATGAATTTAGTATCACGTAGCACACAAAGTTCCAATGAAGATGGGGAAAGCCCACAGAAAAAGATGTCTGAAGTAGATCCAAAAGGAGTGCAGACAAGAACAGCTCTTACATTTGCACCTGAAACATTAGAGCTTGCAGATACAGGGGCTTCTTTTACCTTTAAGATGGATTCATGTTTGTCACGAAGAGAAACAACTGCTGAGAGCTCAAAACTGCATTCTTTGGAGCCAAGTAGTGAAGAAGGTGATAGTCATATATCCTGCCAACTAAATTTAACTCTGGCATCTTGTCCACTGCAAGTCAACAGAAATTCATACTCAGCCAGATCACCCCAAATTGACTGTCAAGAAATTGGCAAATTGGCAGAATCAAATTTTTTTGCCAATGGTAAAGAATCTGATAGTGGGGTTTCCTCAAACCGAAATGCAACTGCTGAAGCTACGAATTTAGCCTCATCACAGGAGGCTCCAAGCAACAACCAAGTTAACCCCGCTCCTCCAGGTAGAGTGAATGATGTTTTCTGGGAACAGTTTCTTACTGAAAGGCCAGGTTGTTCTGACAATGAAGAGGCAATATCCAACTATCGAGCAAACCCATATGATGAACAAGATGAAGGTCGGTCGGTTCATGGAATCTCTAAAAACATTAAGAACATGGACCAACTCACACTTTGAGCATGCTGTCTTGGGGAACATTCGCACTGATGTTATATGATTTTTTCATGATTAATATACATTATGATTTGAAATTTCACAATTGACGCTAAATTGTGTCGCAACTAGCAAGGGGCTGAAAGTATTCTGACTTACTACTTGATATCTCTTCTGAAAAATCTGAAATACTTACCTGCTTTGGGGACTGATGGATACAATGTTAGTTAACTGCTTGGCTTTGTTTTCAAGTTCTGTTTGGCTTTCAACGTAGTACCGTAAACTTAAAAGGTCTTTTGATTGTGGAGTATGTTTGCGTTGAGAGCTGTGCAGCTAGTAAATAATTGCTGAGTAGACCGACTTTACATTACGTGAAGCAATTCCAATAATACAACATGGAAACACTTGTTCAGTGAATGATCAGATGCACTTGCATAATCTTACTTGCTTACCAACTGTTCGGTAACTTTAGACTGTTGATCCCAATAACCATGATACCTCCGGCCACGGTAATTCTAAGGCTCTTTTTCTAAAGTGAAGATTTTGAAAAATCAAAGACTGACGTGATTGATACTTATAATCCAAAGAGGTTAAACCATGTACCAACGGCTAATGTTTCGATAAAAATTAATATTCCTGTTGGATAATTTAATATTCTAAAGACCAAATATGGCATGATAGATTCATTGGTTCTAAAAAAGGAACTAAAAGGCAATATGATCAAATAAAGGACATGAAAACATTGGAAGAGATTTTAATGAAGGTTTTCCTGTCCCACTTGTGGTTTTTAAGGATGTAATCTTTTTCCTTGTTAGGTTTTAGTCCCATAGGTTTATTCTAGTAAGGTATTGATGAGATACATTATCAAGCAGCAAACATGGGAGAGTAATATAAATAATTAATAGTGGTTGTTTACTAAGATTATTTATATTTTTTGTTGACACTATTAAATCATTTGTAAACGTTTAGTCAAAATTTATACTTATAAATAAGCTATTTTTTTATCTTAACATTTCTGGAACTAATACAAGGAAAATTTTCATTGTTTTCATTATCTTAATCTTTGAATTATTTCTATTTTATATCTTCTCTATTTTTGAATTCTTATATTTTTTATGTTAATTTTCATAACATAAGAAAACACTTTTCCTTTTTTCTATTAATCGTTATCGTTTGTTTATATTGTTATTGATATTAAAGGTAATTAAACTTGGTCTTAACTAAAATTTGTTGCATGTATGATATGTCACAACTTTTATTTAAAAAAATGTTAAGATTAATTTTTAAGGTTACTCTTATTTATATATATATATATATATATGAGGAGGGTTCAAACGACACCGGTGTAACTTTTACTAAGTGTTACACAGCTTAATAACTTTAAATTAAATGTGAATTTTGTAAATCCAACCGTTAGATTGAAAGTTCTTTACTCTTAGATCATATATACAAAATTTTATATTAATCCAAGATGATTTGATACTTTATTCATATAAAATAAAATTGACGTAATATATTTATTTCAAAATATACTAAAATATGAACACTTGTTCAATTTTAACAAAATTTGATATACACATATAAAGTGATATGAACTTTCAATCTAACGGTTGGATTTACAAAATTCACATTTAATTTAAAGTTATTAAGCGGTGTAACACTTAGTAAAAGTTACACCGGTGTTGTTTGAACCCTCCTCGCCATTGAATTTAAAGTTCTTAATGCATATATTAAATTTGTAAATTTTTAAAAAACTTAAAAGTCATTTGATACTCCATTTCATTAATTCAAATTGACGGATAATCATAAAATCATTTTATACGTTGATTTGAGTTAAAGAAGCGAAATATCAAATGATTTTTAAATTTTTATAAAATTTGCAGATTTAATCTATGAATTAAGAACTTTAAATCCAATGGTTAGATAGTTGAAATTTGATATAGAACATGAGTTATTGAACAAAGTAAGTTTAGGTAGCCTTGCTCCGTATAACTCTCTTTTATTTACGAGTAAAATATAAAATCTAGTTATAACTATTTATTTAAGATATGAATCAAAATTCAATCTTTAATCAAGAAAAATAAGTATCAAAATATTTATTTTAAAGTATTTTACCTACTTTTAAATATGTAAAAGCGATAAATTTTAATAAAAAAAATTATCCGTGGCCTAAACCCTAGATATAATTTTATGATTAAAATATTTGTTTTGATTTTTATAATTTTATTTACTTTACTTTTTAGTCTATATATTTTAAAATAAATTTTTTTATCTGTATTTATCCTTTTCAATCATTTTTAATCCTTATAGTTTAGGACATTTTTTAATTTTTATACTTGCAATTTTGTAATTCTTTTAATCTTTATAATTAATTCTTTTTAACTTGTCTCTTTTAGATCTTTAGATGTTCATACTTCTTTTATATCCTCACAAATCCTAATAATTTAATTGTTGAGACATTTTTTTATCTTTACAAATTAAAAATCTTTACTATGTCAACATAAAACAGATAACCTTATAAAAAAAAAATTTAATGAAAAGGACTAAAATCATTATAAAACTGTAAATATATAGATTGAAAAGATAAATATAAAGATTAAAAATATTTATTTTAAATTATAAAAATTAAAAGATAAAATAAATAAAAAAATTTAATTAATTTTTTGTTTATTCATTTCATAACATAAGTTAGATATGTAAACGGTATCTAATTTATGACTATCCACCCACTAAGCCTCACACATTCTGTTCACATTCACTTTCACAACCTTAAAAATAAAAACAAACTAAAACCAAGTAAGCTCCGAACACAACACAGAACAATGTCAAAACCCAGATTCATTGTCATGACTTTCCCATGTCTGGCATTTGTTCTTCTGCTTCACACCCTTCTCCCAATCTGTAATGGCATAGCAGTTGTGGACCTCAAATTGAGTGAAACTGATGTGATGACCAAAAGGGTTTGCACCAAAAGCATTGGAGAGTGTTTGGCAGAGCCAGAAATGGACTCAGAAACCAATAGGAGAGTTCTGGAAGGTGTGCGGCACAGGTACATTAGCTATGAGTCACTGAAGAGGGACATGGTTCCATGTGATAGACCAGGAGCTTCTTACTACAATTGTCATGCAAGACCAGCAAATCATTACAATAGGGGCTGTGAGGTCATTACTGGATGTGCAAGGGGTATTCAAGGCATTAAAACTTGATGCTGTCCATGGAATGAGGGAAGGAAGCTAGGAAAGTATGTTATTCTTCTTTCCTTTTTTCCATCTAATCCTGTTTTGTTTCATTTATGAGGTTTCCTTCTGTAGCTATGGTCATTATTTTTATACTTTCTTTGTAACATATCTGGCATGACTAGCTTAATGATGAAAATGTCTGACCTTTTGTTTTTGAGAACATGCCCTTGCAAATTGACATTTTCCTTGGGATTTTGATGCCTGTTTGTTACAAAATCTGTTTATTATAGAGTTTATTTATAAAATTTTACTGCTTTGAAAATCCTGTTGATGTTTTACTGTTTTGATCGGAAGAGTTTATTTAAGAATGAGAGATGTTTTACCAAAACCCATGTTTATTTCCTAATTTATATTATATTTTCTGCAAGAATTTTGCCTAGAAGAAAATGTTTTAGAAGGCATATTCAACTATATGAGGCATTAGAATCAATTGCTTATATTTTGTTGGCTCTCTTTTGATTTCAGTCTGACTTCACAGGAAATGTTTCACACATAGCACCAAGTGTTAGTGATATAAAATGTTAGTTACAAATTAGCTACATCTGTTAGAAAATTAGTTGTTCTCATTGGTTATACTAGTCCCATTGTAATTCTTGTAAATCATCTTTTATCCATTCTACTCAATATAATTTCACTTTTCTCTCAATTCTTTATTCTAAGCATGTTTTCTAATATGGTATCAAAGCCATGGCATCTGCCATGAAAAAAAAAAGAAGAAAAACTCTTCTGCAGTGCATGGATTTTTTATGGGGGATTCGCATGTTTATGCTCTCTCATAGTTCTCTACCCTTTCCTCTTATGCGGATGATCTCCATGGTTATCAAAAACTGATATAGCTAACCTGTAAACCTTTTATATCTCTTAACTAACAATGAGCATTCACATCTTATCTATTAAGTATTGGGTTAAAATTTTATTTAAAACGAGGCTCTTCACATTGAGTCCAATTCCCTTCTGCTCCTTAATGGCTAGATTGAGATTTATGGGGAAGAAGCTGATTTCTTCACAGCTGGTTTGGAGAAAACGGGAAATAAGAATAAGAAAATACCAAATGCAAAACATGTGTATAAAACCAATCCCATCTTATTTGTTTTAAACACGTTTTCCATACATTCCTTAAATTTGTAAGCTCAAAACCTGGTAGGAATGGGAATCGTATTGAAAAGCACAAAATCGATCATGAAGTTGTAAGTTGTGAGAGATGAAAATACCACATATTTTGTGTGTTGGGTTTAGATTATATAATAAGAATTAAAGAAGATATGCAGAAGATTTTATCATGTAATCTCTCTTTCCACTTATTCTATCCTTGGAATTTTATTTGTATCTTAGCTTACCTTAGGTGTAAACCTATTTAGTAGATAAGGGCAAATGTTGCTTTTCAGAAGCAGCAAATAATAAGATTTTACTAAAGTCAAATTAATGAACAAAAAAACATGACTTCTAGTAATAAAGAGATTTTAAATAATATTAATCTAATATGAAATCAATGTTTTTAAAAAGTTCCTTTGTGCTGAAAACGTAACTGTTACTCTGTCTGACTCCTATTTTCTCATTTTAACGCTTGTTAAGATGCTGCATACTAGGTGAGTTGCTTGGTTGTTACTTTTATTTAAAATATAATATAAAATATGATCATTCATGTGTATTTGCCCAACAACTTAACCTTTTGAGATGCTTGAAACCAAGTGGTCTAGACTAGAGTTTGATCCTTGCACCCTCCATTCTTCTTAAAGAAAAGTTCAATTTTGGCACAAGGGAGGTGAGCTTGTGCATTGTCCACACTTCAAGCCAAAGGAGCTCTTGCGTGAGAGAACATGTTAGAAACATAAAACTATTCATGTGTCTTCACCAAAGAGCTTAAGCTTTTGGAATAGTTAGTTCATGACATGTGTAAATGAAGAATCATTTGCTACACTTCCTCTTTACATTTTGATTAATTTCTCCTTTCTTAATTGTTAAAACTTGTTTGTAACACATACATGAGATGTTCAACTGTATGCTTTGTTTCATTATCCTTCTATATAGTTTCTATTTTCATATTACTTTCATTGAAACCTAGGGGACAAAATGGCAAACCTCCTTTCCCCTTTTAAGCTTATTTAATTGCATCACTTTAATGTGGTGGTGTCTAGTAAAAAAGGGTTCAATTCAATAGCTATTTCCATCTAACTAATTTGGCAGATTCTTTTTCTATATTCCATAAAAGTGGTTGAAATTGCTGTTAGAAACAGTCACAATAAATCGTCAAACTAGTCTTAAGACTGGGATTGTTTTAGAAAGATATCCAATTGAGAATTGGTGTTAAGTAATTGGAACGAGGCAAAGATGTATGACTATTAATGAACTTGTCCTTTTTTTCCTTTCCTTTTTTATTTTTAATGTTTTTGTGTGTGAAAGTGAGCTTTGGCACACTTCGTGGGAATCTCAGGTTGCCTCTCTCTCTCTCTTTTTTGTATGTGTTCATCAAACACTTTATTTCATTCGTGTATTTCATACATTACTTCAGTTTTCATTTATTTTTTTTCATCATCATGTTGTGTTATTTCTTCAGATTTTGCACTTTTTGCTTATCTTCTCTATCCATTCTCTAGTGTCTTGTTTTGAGTTGTTGGCACTTGAATATAGATTTAGTGATTTTCTGATCTGCTCCATAGATGTGGATCTTAGGTTGGTTATGAAAAGGAGAGTGACCATCGTTTCCACATTGGTAAAAGTTTCCAGAAATTATTGTTTGTCCTAGGAATTATTCACTTTTTTTTTTATCAACTCTCTTCATTGCCTTATGTTTGGTTTGTTATTCTCATGATGAGTTTATATGATGTTCATATGGGACTAATAGCATGTTTGGATCAACTTCCATGATCCACGTCTATAGATGTTTGGCAAAGCTTTCATATTGCAAACTTAAAAAAAAATGAGCTAGATTGTAGATCTGTGAAGCTTTGACGAAATGGCCATTGATGTGATACAAATATTGATGTTTGTTGAACACTAGACATATCCAAGCATGCTATATGTAATGGTAGGCCACTTTCAAGTTTCAACAACTTCTATGCAAGTTAGCTTTTATGCATTGGTTCACTCAGGGGATCCACACTCCATAGACTCCATACTCAATACCTACTTGTGGCCCTCACCTTTAATAGAGTCACTTTTTTACTGGGATCTATTCGATGATGGTGGAAGATTGAAATAGTATGCATAAAGTTATGACTATTGCAAACAAACAAAAAATGTAATCCCAAGCAAAGCAACAATCAAGAAATAGTGGAGAAATAGTTTTTTTCCTCTCTATTCATTATTTGTCGTTTTTATTTAATTGAATGAGGGTTTTACTTTTATATCGTTTTATTGGAAAAATGATCTCATCTGCGAAAATCAACTAATTCACTTTCCCTGTCTGAATTTAGATGATTATTAATATATTTAAGTCACCAGGTTTTTTTTTTCTCCCTATTATAAGTGTTACCTTTGATACTTGCGTACATGAAACACAGTTCACTTTCCATGACAAAGCATTTTAAGTAGTTGAATGAAAGGCACATAATCATTTTTATTTTGTTCATATTATATAAACCCCTAAGTAAAATTTGTGATATTTGAAAAAGTTTATGTTAATTTGATGTAAATGTATACCTATGCTCCTTTTATTGATAATGAGGTGAACAACTACTTTTTATATTTTACTTGTCATTTTCAGCTCTAGCAAATGTGTTGGCAGGCACAAGGGTCTATTGTGAGGCTTTTTAGTCTAAAATTTATTCTCTGTTTTATTGCTAGGTCCATAATTGCTGGAGTATATTTAAAATGTTTAATAATAAGGGAAAATTACACCCACTTCCTCTCTAAAGTCTATTTAAATGATCCACACAATCCCTCTAATTTTTAAAAATTATGCACTTCTCTTAGAATAATGATATTAGTTCAAGTGAGAGAAATAGAAAAACCAACAATTAATTCATAGTTTGTAAATTATATATGTTTCTATCTTTTGTTTCTGAATTATGTACAATTATAATCTCCTATCTTTTTTATGAAATTTTTTTTTGTTCTTCAATTTTTAAAATAATTTCTCAACGATTTTTGAAATGATTCCTTGAAGTTGGTACTCCTTTTAGATCTATGTATAAGCAAATAAAACTAATTTTACACAGATTAAGAAAGTTCATTAAATGCATTTAATTTTCATAATTTCATATAAAATATACATTATATTTCTTAAAATATCTTTAATCACATGATAGATAATGCTTCCATTTATAAGCATTCTGGTACTTTTGAATTAAGAGTAATAAATAAAGTTGACTTTAATGTAATTTGTTTATATTTTAGTCATTTTTTAAAAAAATTTTGCTTATAAATATGTCTAAAGGGTCTCAGCAATTTTCCATAATAAAAATAGTTCTCACTTGTTAGATACAACATTATTGTGGTATTGAAAATGGAAAATAAAATGTTGATAGGCAAAACTCGCTATGCTATTATCTTGTTTAGAATTTAGCAACATTTACAATGCTAAAAAAAAAAAACTTAATAGATTTCTGGAGTTAATTATTTAAAATGTTTAATAATAAAAATATTTTTTAATTAAGACTAATAATATTTAAATTGTCTATTAAGGATATAAATAGAATACATCCTAATTAGAAGATAAAATGATGTATAAAAAAAATGTCTACTTTAAAGAGAGAATATTCACTTTAACAAATTTCTTCTATTAAATTATTTTTATAAATGATTTTTTTTGATGAAAAATTATTGAGAGAGAATAAATGCAAAAGGACTAGGATAAGCTATCCTCTACAACTAAAATTTATGGTAAAAAAAAAAAAATAATAAATTAAGAACATGACACATGTAGAATAGCATGCCAATCTCTTCCAACATTTGCCAAAGACATCCGGTTCGTGCTAATATATTCAAACAGTCCACTCTATTTATACTGGCGTAAAAAAACATATTATGCACCTTCGTGTATTTTTTTAAAAATAAAAAATAAACAATAAAAATAATTAAAATTAAACATTTGTAAATAATTAACAATTAGAAGGTATGAACGATTTTAAATAATTATTAGCGAGTGTGAGAAGTTTTAAAAATAAATTTACAAAAAAAGGAAAAAATAATAAAAACTAAATAAAAAAAGTACGAACCTTC